AAGTGGTGGAGTGTGCAGAGCCCCCCCCCCCACTGCCCATCAGCCCCCCAGGCCTGTTTCCTTTAATGCTGCAATCAGTGAATTGAGCTCATAACTCCGGCTGCTAATCAATGACGCACGGCGTGGGGGCCTGGTGAGTTATTGGTGCTGATTGGGTGGACTCGGTCCCCGGAGGGCGGCTGGGGGGCTGAAATCCAGCCTCCCTCCTGACCCTGATATGTTTTATTCAACCACTTGACGGACGGCTGGTCGTCATTCTGACCTTTCCTCCTGCTGGAGGGAGTCCTCCTCTGCTGTCCTGCATAGTCGTATCAGCCAATCAGAGACCGGCTCCTTATCGAGTGACTCAGTGGGGAAATAAGCTACTTTTGGCGATGGGAAGCAATGCCTGTGATCTGCAGAGAGATCAAGGTTTCATCCCTCTCTGGCACCTGGGGGGGGAATGAAGCCAGACGTCTCTAGGGAGTACAGTACAACCAGCTCGTTCTCTCAGACCCAAATATGTGATTCATGGCAAACTCCACGAGTTAAAGCTGCATTCTGTGCAGTGACCAGCAGGGGGCGACTCCTCTGCTCCCATAGACGTCTATGAGGAAATGACTCTACTTCTCTGTAGTGACCAGCAGGGGGCGACTCCTCTGCTCCCATAGACGTCTATGAGGAAATGACTCTACTTCTCTGTAGTGACCAGCAGGGGGCGACTCCTCTGCTCCCATAGACGTCTATGAGGAAATGACTCTACTTCTCTGTAGTGACCAGCAGGGGGCGACTCCTCTGCTCCCATAGACGTCTATGAGGAAATGACTCTACTTCTCTCTTGATTTATTCCCTCAATAAACGTTGTAAACATGAGTTTATGGTCTCAGTCTCTAGTTTCAAGTCTTCTTCAACACAACATGATGTTCATTTAGTAAATTATGATCTACTAAAGTAAAATCTGATGACTTTGTACCCCCCCCCCCACAGGTTTGCGGACTCCATCCGGGGGATGTTGAAGCTGATCCTGGTACTGATGCTGGCGGGGGCCTCGCTGTCCTCCACCTGGTTCACGCTCACCTGCCTGAGCTCCTTCACCCACCTGCCCTCCACCGCCGGTCTGTGGATCATTACAATTATAGCTCTGGATATGTGTGTGTGTGTGTGTGTGTGTGTGTATAATATATATATATATATATATATATATATATATATATTTGTATATAACTTCTTCCACAGGCATCCTGTACACCTCCTGCATCCTGGTGGGCATCTTCATCAACAGCAGCGTGCCCATATTCTTCGAGCTGCTCATCGAGACCGTGTACCCGGTCCCTGAAGGCATCACCTGCGGGCTGGCGACGTTCCTGGGGAACCTGGTCTCCGGCCTGCTCCTCACCTTCCTCACCTTCTACTCCACAGGTAAGAGAGCAGCTTCTGATTGATTGATGATCATGACACCGGCCTGAGAAGAGAAGGAGCAGGTTTCTTCTTCTTTGGTGTTAATGAGTGGTCTCTGTCATTGTGATGCATCTACTGGGCTAGATTCTGATCTATAGCACCTAATCACTGACAGGAAGTAGAACCCTCTCCTGTGAGTAGTCCCCCCTCATCATGACTCCCCCCCCACACAGATCTGTCCTGGCTGAACTGGTGTCTGACGAGCTCCTGCCTCTTCAGCCTCTTCCTCATCCTCTTCTTCAGGGAGTCCTACGACCGCCTCTACCTGGACGTCTTCGTGGCGGTGTGAGCAGGACAGACGAAGGGAACGCTAGACTCTTTTTATGATTTTTAATTTCTTTTATGGGATTGTGTATATGGTAACCGCGGCGACGGGTGGACGTTGTCGCGGCTCTTCCTGGTCCCGCGTTGGACGTGGATCTCGCACACTGACGCTAGTCGTTGTTTACAGACGTTGGAAGGTCGGACCTCCAAAGTGACCTTTTTAATGTTTTAATAATGTTATTATGCAAATGATTCTCCAGACTGAGTGCTGCAGCTTTATCCACTACAAGAAGAAGGGATCGTTGTGTCAATGGATGAGAACATCTTCAAATGTAACTGTTTTGTACCGACTGCTCTGAGCCAGTATTTATAGAAAGTGCCGCCCAGCTGACTAATACGACCCCCCCGAGGGAAGAAGAAACCCTCTCTTCCTCTTCCTCACCACGAGGCTCCGATGTTCCCTCCATGTTGTTTGTATCCTTTCACCTTCTGACGCCTTAATCTCTCTGGTGTGTGTTAAACACGCGCGTTGGTTGCGTATTTGTACACGCGTGTGCACACGTTGACGCTCCTGTAGCATCACTGTGGTTGTAAATGTTTCATGGAAAAGAAAAGGACATAAATGTGACTGTTAAATGTTTCCAGCAACTTATTAACAATAAACGCTTTTAGATGATCGTGTCTCCGGGTCTTCGTGCTCCACACACACGTTCCTCATAGTAAAGTTCTCTTCCTGCCTCCAGCGGCCGGATTGACGTTTCATCTCCGTGACCTTTGGATTGTGAATAAACATGTAGTTCAATTAACTGTTAAAGATTTTACAATAAAAAACAGTTTCTATAAAAAATTCACTTGATATTTATCATCAGTTTTTGGGAAATATTTTTGATTCTTTTTGGTTTAATCATAATTATCGCTGTTATAAATAAAAGTTCTTTCTTTCCTCTCTTTGTACTTTTTCTGACATATATGCTACGACTTTTACAAAGACGACGTGTTTGGACCTCAACTAGAAGGCGTCTCGAGTTGCCGTTGGCGTCAAGGTTTATTATCCTTTTATAATGTACAATATACAAAAATATAGCGTACCAAAAAGTTCACAGTGTCTAAAAGGCAGTGATTACAGTCTACGTGACACCTGGTGAGTTGCATAGAGGGCAGAGAGCTCGCTGGGGACCAATCAGGCGACTCGCCTTCCGACGGGGCCCAAAGGAGGCGGAGCCCAAACCGAAAGCGCTCTTCTGCGTTGGACGTCTCCATCGAGAGCGTGATGTCATCGCTCCGCTCCTAAAAACAACCATGAGGCTCTTTTTGTCTTTTCTTTAGCAAACGATGTTAGCGGTACAACGTGCAGATGCATCTACGGTTAGCCTCAGAATTATAGTCAAACATAGCGGACGCCTTCAAACACCATCCGACCGCGGCTCCTCACTCGTGAGTACAGGAATAAAGA